GCCAAAAAGGTGGGTAGATGAGGTGAAAAAAATATAAAAATAAAAATAATAATAACAATAATAATGAAGTAAAAAATTTATCATCATAATAAAGAAAAAAAAAGTAATACGAGTAGTCGAACGATTTTGTGCTATTAATACACTTTCCTCTTGTTTTCTGCTACTCATTTTCAAAAGAAATAAATATTTGAATGAAATAGAAATCTCTAAAAATAAAAATTCATTTCATGATACATTTCATATACCTTTCATCCGGTGGACGGTGGAATTGTTATCTTTTTGAGAAATGAGTAGTATTTTTTGGGAATTATTCTCAATTAATTTTCAGGTTTTTGTTGGATTTGGACCGATTGACGATTGACATTTTCCGATTGTTCATTTGCCCCTTTACATTTTCCCATCGATTTTTCCCAAGTAGTACTTTTGTCCAGTGGTATGTTTATAAATGAACAATGGGAAAATGTCAATTGATAATCGTCATGATCCCGTCATGATTTTTGTTATTTGATCGATTTCTAGGAGTAACCCTAGACATAGATAAGGGGCCGTTCACTTATTACGTTACGCAAAAAAACGACTTATTTCACCCCCCTCCCCCTTGTTACAATATGTTACAACTCACAACCCGCCCACCTGAACGTTCATAATTTATTTTATTTTGATAAAAAGGTGGAAAATTTTGAAAAATGTTTTTTTTACAGTTTACAATAGAATCCGAACCAAATCTTTTATGACATTCTTGTCTTCAAGCCTACTGTGAGCTTCATTTCCAGTACGCATGGTTCAAGTTTTTAATAGATGTGGGTGACATAGTTCAACCTAAAACAACCTTGTCAATGTAAGGGATCGTTCACTTATGACGTCCGAAAATAACGGTCATTTTTCAAAAGAGAACAATGGATTTCCCCCCCTCCCCTCCCTGGACGTCACAAGAGAACGGGCCTTAAAAGATCATATTTTCAATAAAACTTACTTTTTGCTTCCTTGGCTAATGCGCACGTTATGAAAATGAAATTAAAACACAATTTTTTAGCTTAAAGAATCATTTCTTGATGATTTTCTCACGAAAAAACAAATAAAATCTCCCAATTTTTACGTCCAACCCCCCATGCATGCATGAATATTCATTTTCTCAATTTTCTTTCCTCTCCCACTGTTGTTGTTGTGAAAAAGTCACACACAAAAAGTCATGAAAGTTATAATGAGGAGAAAAGAAAAACATTCCAAACTACATATGAGTCGTTCCTGCATCTGTGTGTGAACAGACAAAGACAGATAGATATTTTTTTTCTTGATAATTGTGCGGGTTAAAAAATAATTTTCTTCTTCACATTCTCTCAAGTAAGAATGAGAGGAGAGGCTCAAAAGAAGATTAATGAGATGAAATTTATTTCATTTCTCACATGAACTTGGATAGCATGTGAAAGTGAAAAATTATTTTTTAAAAAAATAGGAATTATGAATTCATGACATACACTTGATGTAATTTAAATTAAAAAGAATTTTTCATCTGCAATGAGCTTAATTTTTTTCTAAGATTAATTATCAAATATTCATATGTTAATTAGCTGCATTAAAATATCTCAAAACAAACATCTGCTGACTGCATGATGAACGCTTGTATTCATTTGTATTGATATACTGTATCCATATGAGCCTGAATTCTTGGAATTTTTCGTCATTGAGCATTTGGAGTTGTTCATAAATGTCGTTCAGCATTGGATTGTTGGTTTGGAACTGTGTGACACTCAATAGCGTAAGAAGTGTGAAGCCTAGCTAGTTGAGGTTTTAAATTTGGTATGAAGGATCTGGTACAAAAAATAAAAAGTTTTAATAAAATCTCGTTTTTTCAATAAATATCATTTTTGAACTACCTTTAATGATTTACAGTAATTATGAATATTGAAGAATGTTGCTGCATTTGTGATCATTCATAAAATTTGCCTTACAAATGTAAATTGCCAAATTTATATTCATATTTTGGTTTCTATTTAAAGACAACCATAAAACGAAGTTAAAACCAATTCTTGATTCAATTCCAAAAGTACCTACAGGCCTGCTGTATTCTAGAACAATTCCATTACAATTCAATATAATTCTTCATCCTTTTTTTTGGATGTAATATGATGAAGATAGATTGCCGACATACTCAACATTTATCAATGCATGTTTCTAAGAATAAACATCTTAATTATTTTCATTTGTAGGATGGAACATGTGATTGATATGAATAGGATTCTCTGAAATGTCTAAAGGTTATTAATATTCAATTGCTAAAACTAGCCTTACTCAGACATACATTTGTGAGGAATTATTTATTTGGGGAAATTTAGCTTGTGTCATAAGAGATTTATCATTTTATATTGTCGGAATGAAATCGAAGTTAATGAATATTTCAGTGGTAAATTTACTTCATTTTGAGTGAAAATTTTCAATGCAGATTATTATTGATGAGTTTGAATTGAGAGTGATATTAGAGATGTACTTTATTATTTGTACTTGGGGTTTTATGGAAATTTTGGCAACAATTTACATAATAATCATTTGGTTGATAATTATTAGAGCTAAGATGGGGTCTATACTCAAATAAGAGGTTCACACTCCAGCTCACATCGCACCTACATTGTAATTTTCAGATTATTGAGCCACCTTTTCAATAGTTACTCATCTTAATTCCGCTAAAACCCATAAAAATAACTAAAATAACAAACAAGACAAATTCAATTTTTCTTACAATGATCGTGAAAAATGAAAGTCACAAATAAAAAGGATTAAAGAAAGAAATTTACAACAGCTCGTAAAAAACAATATGTAGGCAGAAAATGTCTCTTTGAGCTACTGAGTTATCTATTACCACAATCAATATTCACATGAAGCAACGAAATTTGATAGTGTTGGAATTTTTTGTTAAAAATTAAAGTGACTTGGAACAGACGAACAGAGGTGCAACAAAGGGGTTGGGGGCTGTTGTGACTGACATTTGTTTGAAGGGACAAGAAGCTATGCAAAAGCATCAGAAGGTGAAACTAAGTCCATCTTTGTTCACTGAATTTTGAAGCACTTTTAAATTATGTTATCCAGTGCTAGGTCCTTACCCATAATATCATTAGTTGTAGCACTCTACCCGAATGGCACAAGTGGGTTAATCGATCAGAAATATGGCACCTAAATGGTTAGACTCTGACATGGTGCTGAATTTAAATCGAAACCAGTACAATGCCAGAGTCATACCAGCTTCGCGCCAGATTTCAATTCGATTAACCGACTTGTGCTATTCCGGCTATGCAATGTTTGAGAAAGGCCAGCTTCTGGTAGGATTTGAACCTATTATACATCTTTACAACTTAGAAATTTAAACAACTCTGCAATTCAGGTCTTAAGTTGCACTGTCAGATTTGCCTCTATATAGCTTGATATCCCAGATTCCACTCTCATTCCACAAACATAAAAATAACTTCTACAAAACGAAGAAAAATATTTTACAGACGTAATAAGTGATCATCCCTCAATTAACAAGTGCACTTAATTTCAATATTTATCAAAGTTTTAAAAATCTTTTAAGAAATCATAAACTCAGCAGTGTTTACATTGAACTTAAATGATCCATATGAGTAAGTGGAAGAAAAAGACGCGTTGGCTAAAAAAATCTCTGCCTCCAATTTTAATATTCACATGTATTTGTTTGTTTTCCTCACACATATTTCCATAAACTTCAGCACATTAGAATTTATTTATCCAACATTTATCTAGCTATTGATATTTACATAAACTTTTTTATATGCCTACAAATTCATTTTATGATTCAATCAAAATGTTATAGACATGTGCAGGTGGATGTAAACAGGTTGTAATGTCGTCATCATCGTAATCATAATCATCCCTCACTCTCTCTCTCTCTGGCTATCATAAATCGATAAAGTGAATGAGCATAAAAAAATTTAAAATCGTAAAATTATTTATGATTTGTGAGAAATGTGCTGAAGTAAATGACATTACTACACATTCGCGAGACATGAGCGGAGATAGGGGAAATGTCATAAAGTGTAAGGATATAGGACCACCACTCAATATGTTGGATCTCTTTGATAGATCAGAACCTACTTAATAGATCAAAACCTACTTCATAGATCAGAACCTACTAGATAGATCAGAACCTACTTGATAGATCAGAACCCACTTGATAGATCAGAACCTATTTGATAGATCGGAACTTACTTGATAGATCAGAACCTACTTGATAGATCAGAACCTACTTGATAGATCAGAACCTACTTAATAGATCAGCACCTACTTGATAGATCAGAACCTACTTGATAGATCAGAACCTACTTGATAAATCAGAACCTACTTGATAGATCAGGATCTACTTGATAGATCCGACCCTACTTGAAAGATTAGACCCTACTTAATAAATCAAAGTTTGATAATCAAACTATACTTGATAGATCGGAACATACTTGATAGATCAGAACCTACTTGATAGATTAGAACCTACTTGATAGATTAGAACCTACTTGATAGATCAGAACCTACTTGACAGATCAGAACCGGCTTGATAGATCAGAACCTACTTGATAGATTAGACCCTACTTGAAAGATTAGACCCTACTTAATAAATCAAAGTTTGATAATCAAACTATACTTGATAGATCGGAACATACTTGATAGATCAGAACCTACTTGATAGATTAGAACCTACTTGATAGATTAGAACCTACTTGATAGATCAGAACCTACTTGACAGATCAGAACCGGCTTGATAGATCAGAACCTACTTGATAGATTAGACCCTACTTAATAAACCAAAGTTTGATAATCAAACTCTACTTGATAGATCATACTCTACTTGATAGTCTAAACCGCTGAGAGAATTCTTATTTCAGCCCTGTCTCGAGTTCGTCATCATCATTTTTTCTCTCAATTTTTCTTCTTACTATTTTTTGAGATTTTTTAGAAAAAGAAATGAAAAATTTTTTGTTTTTTTTTTCTTCAGTTCATTTCGCATACTTTCATAATTCGCTCACAAATGGAAATCGCTTAAAGAATTTTATTTTTGAAGTTCTTAAAATTAAAGTGTAATTAAGGCCTTTTCTAAGTGATTTCAAGTACGCGGTAAGTGCTTTTCATAAGTTGTAATTTGATAAATCCTTCTAAAAATAATTTATTTTTCACCTGAATGGCAATCATGAAAAAATTTCGTAATTGTGGATGACGAGAGTATAATTGTTACAATTTTCGACCGTGAAAGTGCTATTATCGTGCCTATTAGTCATATTACAAGCCCCATTTACAGTTGTGAAGAGCTGTAAAGAGTTATTCAGGAATGATTTTTTAATGTCAGAATTTAGTTCACCTTACTTTTGGCTCGTTATTTACTTGTGCATGTACACTTGAGAAAAATGAAAAATAATTGTGGAAAATTATGACTGCAATTTTAAGTTATTAAATCTGAGATTTTTTGCAGTTCTTTATTTTTTGTGTGGAACAACTTAAACTTGCATTTGCAAACCAATTTAACTTTAATTTTAATAGCGTCTGGTTGGTTGGATGTGCGGTTGTTAAGGGGATTGTAAATTGCAGTTCTTACCCAGAACAATTTTCTGTACATCGACAATGTAAAAAAAAGTGGAAGAAGTGAAGAATCCTTTTATTTCATTGGCGAATGCTGTAGAGAAATTCCTCTGTTGCGAGTTTTTTATTTCATGTGGAGTTTTGTTGGAAAAGTGGTGAAATTGTGGTCGGTTTGGGCGAGTTGGGAGTCGTTCAATTATTATGTAACGTTACTAAATGGTAGGGGGTTGGCAGATCAAACAAAAAAATGCATTTAATAGAAGTTATGTGACATTGAAGAAGGTGGAAGGGGGTGAGAAGAGTAATAAGTGAGCAGCCCCTTAAACGTATAGTCAGGACGTGTTGAGGAATGTTTACATCAAATTAAAAATTTCAAAAAACTGCAGATCAGTAGTTTTCAAACTGTGTGCCATGGTTTCCTTTGGATCTTCTTGAATGGATACAGATTTTCGGGTCAACACTTCTGTAGGTTCCTTACGATAATCTCGAGAGTCAGATCTCTGAAAATGACATTTAAGCTGATTTCTAGTGCTATCCAGGACCATGTAGATTCAAAAACCGATTGACACTTATGAATTGACTATGACCAGCTAATAGTATCCTGGATAGCTCTTAAAAACCTTTAATAAAATGAAAAGATTAGTCCAAATGATTGTTATATATGTTGTGATTAGTTTTCTATTTAAAAACAATATGTTGATGGAATTTTTATAAGAATGCGACTGCATCTAGCAGAAATATGCCTGAATCATAGCAAAATACATGTTATGTAGCTGCATACAGTGCGCTTCATTCACCATCGTGTGCCAGATTCTCAACACAATTTTTCTTCTCATCTTATTTACCAGCTTAATTAAAATTCTCTTCTTTCTTGCCTCGACTCGATTAATATCAAAATTATAAAAAATTTTTCCTTACCACCTTGACTTAAATTAATAATATTCTGTTTCAGTTTTATACTCGGCAAATATAAAATTGCGTGGGTGTTCGTACAGAAAAAAAAATTGTTGATACGTGGAATTTAAACTAAAGCAGTAACAGCATTAATGCTGCTGTCGTGAAGTAAAAATAGAAAGAAAAAATATCTCAAAAAAATTTCAATTTTTTTTTCTTTGCTTTCACGTTTATAAATATTTAATAGATTATTTGGATCTCCTCACAAAAAAGTTCTTCATGTTATTCTCTAAAAACTTCTTGTTCTGCTCTCCAAAATATTTTTCTTTTCTCGGTAGCAATAAATTTTGCACAATCGATCGATTATTCAATTTTCGTTGAATTTCATTTTATCCTGTGTAATACCCACAGACTCAGGGTTGCTGACTAAGTTGTTATGACTGAATGCATGCTGCAAAGTTAGGAGAGGTCTTACTTAGTCTTGTGCACAATCGCTCGTATCAGTTTGTAAATCGGTTTTTTGGTTTATCAATGGTTTACTACCTAGCTAAGGTCAGGTATAGGTGTATGCTGTAAAAACAGCCTCCAAAGACTAGTAAATAGTGCAATCCCGAGAAACCGATCTCATAAAATTGGCTCAGAAGTTGTGTCAATCTAAGTATGAGAAATATGTACTCTAAGGCAGTGGTGGTCAACCTTTTCTGTGCCATGTCAGACCTACGGTTCGTAGAATCTGCTTTTCGTTTCGTGGCACGCTAGTATGTCGCGGCACTTGGGTTGGCCATCACTGCTTTAAAGTGTACCCTAGTAAAAAACCCTAGTTTCAATTAGCATCTCATCTGTTTTATGCTGCCTATTCACATTAAAACTAAGTTTCTCAACGCTTGTAAAACTATTTGAACTTAATTTCAAAGTCGGACCACACCTGATTCATAAGCCAGATCACAATTAGTTCCTGAACCTGATCATACCTGAATCCTGAGCCTGATCATACCTGAACCCTGAGCTATACTAAAGCTACCAACCCTGCCATCCATTGTACGTACTCGGATGTGATGTATAGCGAGGAAATTTGAAAAATTATATGAACAAATGCAGCAACAATAAGAAGATTAAACGAAATGAAAGAACTAAATTTACACCTTTCACTGCAGACGATACCAAACCACATCGATATTTATCCCAACGGGTAGATTTTTCTATATTTTTTTAATCGACAGAAAAAAAAAAATTTTCTGACTCGATGTGTGAGTCAGAAAGTAAAAAATTTAAAGGTTTAAATTTAGAATGCACTCATAACAATTTTTGACACATGCTGTGTGTTTTTTCTTTAAATCAAAATCAAAATGCTCAATATGAATTATCCATTGGGACATTGCAACCTCCTCAGTCTGCTTCATCTCATTCGAGTGAATTCTCTTTTTATCGATGCTACTTCAAGCTGCTAAAATACCATTACTGAAAAAAAAGGTTTAACATTGTACTTACCTACGTGTATTCGCTATGTATACATATTTTAAAATTCAATCGAAAATTTACGATACAATTGTGCGCCGCACACAATGTGGTTAAAGTTTAAAATATTCAACCCATACATTCAGTCAGCCATCATCCATTCATTTGTTTTTCACTCAGACCAGATTTGATGATATCATTCTGAATGTTTGTATGTTCAGCTTTGTTTTCGTGGAATTTACAGGAATTTTAATGATGAATTCTAAAAAGGAATTAAGTATTTGGCTAGTTTAGACCTTTGCTAACCGTGACATGCTTTCTATTCTGGTTATAGAACAAGTTCTGTCTGAAATATAAATAAATTTTGACTGAGTCGAGACTAGAGTACCTTAAAACCAGACCAAAACCTTCCAAAATTGAAATTCAAATGTTACACGACTCAAAAATCCACAATTCTTGAGTTTCGCTCATTCCACTTTATATTACCGAGTCCTCCTCTCCTAGTACCTCATTCATGCATGGAACAAAAAGAAGAAAAAAATCCAGAACAAAATTTACAAAGAACTGAATTTTACAGCGAATGTAAATTGGAGTAAAGGAGGAGGAAAAAAGGCAAATCACGGTTGTTGATGTAAAGAATGGAGACAGAGAAGAAAGTAAAGAGATTGAGAAAGGCTTTATTGATTCACAATGACGACAGTTGAGGAATTAAATCATTTATCATTCATAAAAGATGCTCAAGATGAAAATGAAAAATTGTGTTGAGGATTTTTTTGTGATTGCGTGAATTTAAGATGGGAAAGTGAGATGGATATACGAGAATATTTTGGAACAGAAGTAATTTTCTACGCCTATATACTTACTTACTTTACTTCCTTGGCTAAGGCGCACGTGGCCCCATTGCCGCATTAAGAGTTCGTCTAAAGCTGAGGCTATCCCGGGCTATCCTTAGACAACTTCTGCCAGTTTCTAATGTCTAGCACATTTGCATCGTTGCTTGCACAGCCATTTCATGAGTTCTTTGGTCTACCTCTATATACTTATATAGGGTCGATAATGTACGATGTCGATCAATATGTGGAAGTTTTAGCCCTATTCTCACCACTGTCACAAAATTTGACACAAAAATATTTTTCAAAAGAAGCTAATTTTGGACATCATTTATAAACAGCTCCTTAAAGAAATTGGTCTATTCCTCCATTCAAATACTTTAGAAAAAGAATCCAATTTTTGAAAAGAAAAAAATCAATAAACCTGTCCTTACTTAAATGCAGACATTTCAAGGTATAGAAGTTGAAATAAATGAGATTGCCTGTTTTCTGACTGATTGAGTTAATGATTTGTTTTCTCCTGAACTACATTATATATTCCCAAATAAATTATTCTATGCTGTTGAATGAATGTAAATAACTGTCAATCATATGAACAAAAAAAAATGGATATTGATTTTTCTAGAGAAATTTGAATCATTATTGATGAAATATTGACATTGTGCAGAAAAGTCGTTATTTCTTATTGTGTTCTGAAGAATTTATTTTGAGGGAATTTGAAGGCTGTTATTGCTGAATCTACGCTTCATAGTGGAGCAATAGGAACCCATCATCATCGTTGCTGAATCTGAAGTTTAAATTACGGCTCAATATTTTAAGGGTGGGTCTAGACCATCCTGGTTTAGCCTCTGAATGGTGGTTGTTAATAAATGATCTTGACGGAGTCATTCACAAGTGACAAAAATTAGAAATAGGATGTTCAGCCTTCCTAAAGATTTTTTGGGAAGTACCACGCAGATGTTGTTTGGGTCAGGCTCAAAAGTGGTAAGAATCACTTCTGTAAAATCTCCAAATTTGGCTTCAATCCATCCAACTTTAAAGATTCAATTTTTACCCAAAATCTCTGACCTCCCCTGAACTCATCATGAATAAAAATCCCTTAAAATATAAAGCCTTGACCTCTCAACTTTTAGTATAAAGTCAACAAAAAATGAAAACTAAAACAAGAAATAAGTCTTAAGTTTCTGAAACGGAAGAAAATTTTTCATTCAATTAATTAAAAGCTCCCCATTCATCCTTCATAAATTTTAATTTCAACAAAAGTATCATACAGTTTCACAAGACGAACTTAGATGAGGAACTGTAAGACAGGAAGAAAAATTTATAAAATATAAATAATAGGATAAAAAAAAAAATTCTTTA